TGATGATGACGATGATGACGATGATGATGATGATGATGATGATGATGATGAATATGATGATGATGATGATGATGATGACGATGATGATGATGATGATGATGACGATGATGATGATGATGACGATGATGATGATGATGATGACGATGACGATGATGATGATGATGATGATGATGATGATGATGATGATGACGATGATGATGATGATGATGATGATGATGATGAATATGATGATGGTGTTAATGATGATGATGACGATGAGAATGGTGAAAATGATGGCGTCGATTGTGGTTTAATTGATTTTTATTATCTCCTCATCACCATGATCAATTCATTGGTCGTCATCATCACATTCATCACCTAAACACTAATTGTTTTCATCATCGTCTACGCAGTTCTCAGCTGCACTGCACAAACTTGCTCCATCGGCCAGCCATTAAACATCCACCTCACTTCCGGCTTCCTCTCCAGTATGACGTCATCGTCGTCACGCGCTTGCGGGTCAGTCACGTGCCCGTGGAGTTTGACCCCTAAACAAAACCAACGCTTCAATTTGACCTTCATGATATTTCACTCACCATCATCGTCGTCATCATCGCTGCCACACTTAGGCGGATATGACGTCACTGCAAACAAAATCCAACAAAGTATGTTTGTGTTTGTGTGTGTGCACACGTATTTTTACGTTTTTACGTGCGTGTGTGCGTGTAGGTGTGTATTCACACCGAAATAATGATTGGTTAACATGGTAATAAGGTTCTCTAGAAGAGTCTACCAGAGGTTAAAGGTCAAGAAAGTTTAAGCACGTGCGGTCATAATTTTTAAATCGAATGAATGATGATGATTTTTTGATGTTGTTGTTGTCGTTGTGTCGTTGTTGTTGTTGTTTTTTTTTTCAATTAAAACATCCTCATCTTATGTAGCATCGCTCACTATTCTTTAATCTGTATTACTACTTTATGTGGTTTTTATCTCTTAAAAAAACTTTACCAGACAACTTTCCCCTCTTTATTCCTCGAACTTCTCATTAAGTAAAGCCATAAAGTCCTTAATTAAATCTTTATACCCTTGTTTGCTAAGAAAATTTATCGATTGCTCATCTATATATATATATATGTATAAATACAATATATATATATATATACATACATACACATACCACACACACATACCCACCCACACACACACACACACACATATATATATATATATATATATATATATATATATATATATATATATATATATATACACTAGACACATTTCACTTTGTTATTTATTGATATGCAATAGAAATACGCCAAATGTATCGTATGTGATACATTATTGATGGGTGCAATTTTATAGATAGTAATAAATGGTTGATTGATTGATTGATTGAATGAATACATGAATGAATTAATGAATAATTGAATGGATGAGGAATAAATGAGCGAATGAATTAAAAAATGAATGAATAAAAAGTGAAGGAAGGGAAGAATGAAGAATCAGAGAAATGTAAAACACTTGCTGAGATATTATAAAAAACTAAACGACTAGAAACGAACGAACGAACAAACAAACAAACATACATACAAACAAACATACATACATACAAACAAATACTAATTTAAACACATACAACTCTTCTACTCCTCGGCACCCTCGCCGAACGATACGTAAACCTGACAAGTAAAGAATACGGTTTGGCCGCGGCCAGGGCAGCGGACGAGAAAATGAAAAAATATGGGAACGCCCTCCCCTCGATGGAATTCTTGCCAATATGCATCGAGGTTCTTGGCCCGATGGACCCCAACACCCTTAAATTTCTTAAAGAAATATGCAAAATGATCAGCGTCAGATCAGGCGATAGCAGGGAACTGTTTTTCGCAACTAATCACATTTCGTGCTTGTTGCAGCGGTTCCTGCGTGTCTGTGTGCTTGAAAATATCCAACTGAATGCCGACATGTGCAATTAACGACAAATCAAAGTGTTAATCCATTTGTTACTTGATGTTTGACGGTTCAGTGTCACTCATCATGTTTTGGTTTTAACATACATACATACATACTTACAAACCAATAAACAAACACACGTATATGTTTGTATCTATATGTTGTATTTATGTATGCATTTATTTTTCATTTGTTTACTCCTTCAGCCATTCAATCAAAAGTTCATTCATTTATTCATTCATTCATTCATTTATTCATTCATTCCTTCATTCATTCATTCATTTATTTATCTATCTATCTATCCACCGAATATCTATTTTTCAAGATTTCATATTTAAGAAATAGCAACATCAGATGGACCAATCAAAATGATTCGCTTGAGAAAGCACGGGCAATAAAGGATTTTATAATTATGCCGACAGACACGTTCCATAACATAAAACTCTTCACAAGAATTTTCTGTTAATATTTATGTCTAAGCACACACACACACGCAAAAACACAAACACACACAAAGACACACACGCACACAAAGACACACACGCACATACACAAACACACAAACAACAATTTTAGCAAGCAACTTTTCGGAAACTCGTCTATGCAGTAAGATAATAATCAAACTTCACAGAAATGGACAAATGCCAAATTTTTCAATCTCCAACGATGAGCAAAATAATTGGCCATTTCATGGATGCACGGCAAACTTTTTGAAAAAGTTCACATTAGAGGAATAATTTTTTTTTGTTTCGCTTAAAAAAAAACATTTTTGAAGAAACTCTTGAGAAAAAAATGTCATCAAGTAGAAACGGTATTTTAAACGTAAGAGTAGAAATACCACTATTCACTAAAAAGTCATCAACAATAATTACTCAACAAATAACATCAGCAACGACAAGAACATCAACACCAACGACATCAATTACATCAACAACCTCAACAACATCAATTACATTAACAACCAACAACAACATTAGCAGCAACAACAACATCAACATCAGCCACAGCAGCTACATTAACGAAAAACATGCCAACCACACAATCAACAACATCAATATTAGTAACTACAACAACAGCAACAACAACAGCAACAAACACACTCACAGTTGTCCGTTTGTTTCAATAGTTGTCAGAATTAAATGGCTATACTTGTTGAACGAGTTCAAAGCAAGATTAACACCAGGCCAGCGAAATTGCTTGTCAACGAGCTAACTAAAGTTATATATATGTATGTATTGTATACACACACACACACACATACACACACACACACATACATACATATATGCACACATACATACGGACACATATATACACACATGCATACTTGTATACGCACATACATACACACATACATAGTTTTACACATACGTACATGCTTCATTTAAAATATGCTGCCCATACTAACGCGATAGTAATGCTATTCGTTTGCTCCAGAAGATCACGTACAATAATACACAAAAACACGTACGTATACACACATATATGCAAACCTGTGCAGAATTAAACATACATTCATACAAACAAACAAACATGCTTAGATACAAACACACAAACAAACAAACATTCTGTTTCAATTTACAATGATGTTGTTGCTTCAGTATTAATAACGATGATGATGTTTTCATTAATTGCGATGATGATGAAGAACTGATAGGGATGATGATGGTGATGATGATGATATCGGCCCGTCGGTAATGATAACGGCACCGGTAATGATGGAATCGGTACTAACGATACCGATTTTGATATTAGACGCGTATGCCTTGGTGAATTCGGTTTAAAGGTCGAGGCGATAAAAACTGACTTTATTGCTTGGCTAACAATGCCATCTTTCGAAGAATAGCCATCTTGTATTATTTTTGTACTTGTGTTTATATGTATTTCCATGTATTCATATGTTTGTGTGTGTGTGTGTGAATATGTGTGTTTTTGAACTCTGGACACCTGTGTGATTGTTTGTATGTGGTTGTGTGTATTTATGCACGTATAACTGCTCACCTGACTAATTTTGTTTCGAGTTTTTGTCATATTTGTAATCTTTAAAAGATTAACTTCTTTTCTGTTTAATTAATTTTATCTTTTTTGTTTAACTAATTACATGAATTGAATTTAATTTAATAAAACCTGCCAGTGGCCATCTTGAGTTATAAAAACGAACTCGGTAAAGAGAAGAAGAAGTGAAGATTACGAAACAAAAACATTCGGCCTTAACTTCATTCAGGAAAAACATTTTCAGATGGAATGAAAGAAAAAGAAATTGAAAAAAGAACAATCGGGAACAGGATCAAAAACTACAGTAGGAAGAAAAAAAGAATGAATGAACGAGAGATGAAAGAGAGAGAGAGAGAGAGAGAGACAAACAAAGAAAGATAGACAAGCAGGCAGACTAAGACAGACAAAAAGAAAGTATAGGAATACTGAGAGAAAAAGAATGTGAGAACAAAGAAACAAAAAAATAGGCAGAATAAAAAAAAAAGAGAGAGAGATAAAGAGAGAGAGAGAAAAAGAAGGAAGAGGAAGAAACAGAGAGAAACAATGCAAGGAGATGACCGTACATAAAATAAAGGAAAGACAAAAATTTTTTCAATTACTTAATGAACTTGAATGAAGCCGGCATTTAATACATTAATATTTATGACCTAATGTATGTATTAATATGTATATCTATATGTGTGTGTGTATGTCTGTATGTGTCTGTGTGTTTGTGTTTATGTGTGTTTGTTTGTACGCTTATATGATGAAATACAAAGAAAAACAAAAAACTGATTAAAAAGCAGAAACAAAATAATTTTCTGAGGAAAAAGAATGTGAAATATATGAAAATAAAGTTTTCCTGAATACTGGCCGGTGAAAAAGTTGTTGAAATGAATGGATAGATGAATGAATGGATAAATGAATGGATAGATGAATGAATGGATAAATGAATGAATGAACGAACGAACGAACGAATGAATGAGTGAGTGAATGAATGAATGAACTAACGAACAAACGAATTAATGAGCTAACGAATTAATTAGTTAATGAATGAATGAATGAATGAACTAACAAGTGAGTGAATTAATGAATGAATGAATAAATTAACAAATGAATGAATGAACAAAAAAACGAATGAAAGAACGAACGAACAAATGTATGGATAGAAGTTATAATTAGAAAAAATATAGAAAAAACTACTGAGAAAATGGAAGTGATTGTGTGAAAGAATAAAAATGAAAAAATGTTAAATTATTTAAATTGAAAAAATTAAAAGTAAAACAAAGAATGAATTAAAGAGAGAGAGAGAAGAGAAAAAGAGAGATAGAGAAAGAGAGAGAAAAAAGAAAGAGAGGGACAGACAGAGACAGGGAAGGAAAAAAGAGAGCAAGGAAGGTGATAAATCAAGTGAGTGCAATAAATATTAATGCTGTGTAGAATTGACTGATTAAGTAGATGAGCTGAACATTCCCACACACATATACACACACAAATACACAAATACACACATACACGCACACACACATACACATAAATACATACCTGAGGAAATATTCTTGTGAGATTGCGTGTTGTGGCATTTTGTTTGCGTGTGCGTGTGTGTGTTTGTTTGTATCTGTCTGTCTGTATGTGTGTGTATGATTGTGTGTGTGTGTATGAGTGTGTATATGTGTTTATGTGCGTGTCTATGTATGTATGTGAGTGTTATTCAACTATCGGTATGTTTCTATCTATGTGTTCTATTTGCATTTCGATGCATACTAATTGGTTTCTCATCGTCCGCTCTTTTCCTTCATATTGTTGCTACTACTGGCGTTATTATTATTATTATTATTAATGTTATTATTATTGTTATTATTTTTTTTGTTGTTTTCATGTCAAAATGTCACCCTTTGGCATAATGTAGCAGGACGTTCAAAACTCAAATAATATAACAAAATATAATAATAATAATTATGAATATAATTATAATAATATTATTATTATTGTTATTATTATTATTTAAAAAGTCGTAGGATGCACGGACCCGCCCACGCCTCCGTCTGGCTGGATGAAACGGACCGGAAACAAAGCTGAATCAGGATGCCAGCCTAATAAGGTACTCTGGAGAATGACGTGTCACGTGAACAGCTGGGTCGGGGACGAAATAGGGATGTGTGATGGAGAGGGCAGAAGTGCCGACGCGTGGAATGGTGATCTTGCCGGAAGTGGCGGGGCTGGTGGGGGCTCGAATGATGGTGGGCAGAATATGCAGGGTGAATATTTTCGGTTTAACTTTTACCAGTTAAATACAAGAACATTTCTTTTTAAATCTTTTATAATTTATTGTTAGAAAAAACTTTTTAAAATTTTCATACTAAATTACTTAATTAATGTTTTCTGTATTAATGAAACAACACAAAATGACCACACCGAAACCAGGCTTGCTGGCGGTTGTTGGTATCGGCATTGTGCTTGGTATTGTTCTGGGTTTCTCTATGCTGACCATCGCCGTTGCTATGCTGAGAAAGTTTGTGGAAACTTTACAAAAATTTTGGCGGTGGTTTCGAAGAAATTTTATTTGTGGTTTAGTGAAAATATTGTTAAAAATAGATGAAGATGGTGATGATGTTTCTGAAATTTTGTTTTAGTTAACGAAATATAAGTAGTTTTGAAATGATTCGATAAATTTTAAATGTTTTGAATGAGTCCCAATTGAATGTTTATGAACCAATGTTAATAAGAGAGAAATGAATTATTATTTTTTGAAACGAACGTGACTAAATGAATGTACCTCCAAAGGCGAAACAGACAAAAACAACCGATCCAAGTACTCGAGAAACTCAACAGTGACATTTACCAACAACAACATCAACATCAGCGCATCCCTTCGACAGGAACTACTTCCGTTTACAACCAAGCGACAACAACACAGACGCAACAACAACAAATGTTCCAACAACAAAGCAAGTATCAACAGCAACAACAACAACAACAAACTAGAGATGTGATGATGAATGTGCAAACGTACGCCCCCATCGCTGATTTGCTGTTATCAAGTGACGTCATAATGAATGGTTTGTTGTTGTTGCTGTTGCTGATTTTGTTGTTGTTGTCGTTGTTGTTGTTGTCTTTTATGTTTTTCTTGTTCATGAGTCTGATGTTAATAATGCTATTAATGTCATCTTCCTGATTTAACAGTGCTGATGACATATTGATGTTATTGACGCTATTAATGTTTTCATTAATGTTACAAGAGTTACTTCAATGTTATTTCAAAAGAGCTGATGACATTTTGTAACCAATATATCAAGCAGCCAACACACATTTCGCCCTCAAATTCTATTTCTTCTTTGTACCTTGCTTTGATAAATGACATTTCAGCTGTTGGATGACAAGCCTGTTAAATCATCCGCAATAACATCTAATGCCTGGCTCTTTCTACCTAAAAAAAATTATGTTTTTGGTATTATTATACATAAAATATATTATAAATTGTTTTTATGGTAAGTATTTTAGAATTTCAAGCTGGTAATTTTTTGTAGTAGTGGTGGTTGTAAATGTAGGCGAATCATCATCATCGTCGTCATCGTCGTCAACACTTCAACAGCATTATTGAAAATACTAGTAATTTAAAGTGATATAAGTATTGAGTGTGAATAATGCTTGAAGTTACGAAAGAATTAACGATAATTTTTTCATAATTAATAAATAAATACAAATATTATTATTAATAATTTGGATATCAAAAAGATTTCTTTCGAACACCCCTTACAGAAAAGTCTACGCCACCATTGTTGAAAGAACATTGTTACGAGCCAACATCACATGAGATGCCATGTAAATTTGAAACATTTCATCAACAACAGCAACAACAACATCATCCGCATTTTCAACACCATCATTGCCAGCAACTACAACAGCAACAACAACAACAACTACTACTACAACAACTCATACAAAAACAACAACAACATTTATCATCGCACAACAACAACAATGACACAACAACAACAGCCAATGATGGAAGTTACCGTAGTAGCGACCCTGACCTTACTTATTTACCCACACCTCCGCCACCTCCACCGACCAAGACGTTGCAGTTCTCTTCTTCCGCCATGCCATCTTTCGTAAAATAAAATAAAATTATAGCTGTTACGTCATAATTGAAATTATATATATATATATATATATATATATATATATATATATAAATTTATATGGATGTATGGGACAGAAAATATTTTTAAAAACAATAAATTATCTAAAATGGTATGATTATTATTATTATTATTATTGTTGCTGTTATTACTATTGTTATAATGACTATAATTATTAGTAAGGTTTCTGTTATTAATTGTTTTATAATAATAATATTATTATTATTATTAATTATAGTTGTAATTATTTTCATTTGTTATTCTCATCGAAAGGTTATTTTTTGTGTGTTGCAAAATGCAGTGGAAAAACCTGTAAATTTTTATGTGTTTATACATATGTGTGTGTGTGTGTGCTTGTATGTGTGTGTGTGTGCATGCGTGTGTGTTTGTCGGTATGTGTGCGTGTTAGTGGGTATGTGTGTCTATGTGTGTATATATATTTTTTCATATAATTATATTATCACTTTCATCATCGTCCCTAACATTAACGTCATAAACACATTTATTCAATAATTATGATAATTATAGTAATAATAATAATTATTATAATTAATATTATTATTGTTATTATTATTAATAATATATAATTATACGGTATAATTTCAATTCTATGTACCTAATAATTTCATTCGCTTTCAATGCCTAAAAATCAGGGTTGGTTTCACACATACACACACACATACATACAACATACATTCATACATACAAACATACATACATAAATACACACACACACATACACACATACATATAACATACATTCATACATTCAAACATACATACATAAATAGATACACACATACACACATATATATATATATATATATATATATATACATAAATACATACATACTTACATACAAACAAATGCGCACATACACCTACACACAAATACACACATAAATACATTATTCTTGAATGTTTAATTTTATTTTGTCCAAAAATATATGGACCAATAAATAAATAAATGTTGGTATTATTATTTGTTAATTTTTTGTCTGTCCTAAAGAAATAAGAAATTAGAACAATAAATTTTTATCATCATTTCATCCTCATCATCTTCACCACCATCATCATCATCATTTCATCCTCATCATCTTCACCACCATCATCATCATCATCATCATTTCATCCTCACCATCTTCACCTTCATCATTTCATCTTCACAGCCATCTTCACAGTCATCACATTTCACTGTTTTTAATCACTCGCAAAATCATTATATCATTCATACGTTCGATATGCCTGTCTGAAAAACATAAAATTTTAAAACGTCATTTTACATGCTCTTGAGGAGAAATTGTGACAGTGCAACAGTAAGATACAGAGGAAACATAAAGAGAGAGAAAGAGAGAGAGAGAGAGAGAGAGAGAGAGAGAGAGAGAAG